TCACCTCACATGTGCTCACACTCAGTCATCTTGTGCTGACACGTATGCTCACCTCACACGTGCTCACACTCAGTCATCCCTGTGCTGACATGTATGCTCACCTCACACTCGTGCTCACACTCACAGTCATCTTGTGCTGACACGTATACTCACCTCACACGTGCTCACACTCAGTCATCTTGTGCTGACATGTATGCTCACCTCACATGTGCTCACACTCAGTCATCTTGTGCTGACACGTATGCTCACCTCACACTCGTGCTCACACTCAGTCATCCTTGTGCTGACACGTATGCTCACCTCACACGTGCTCACACTCAGTCATCCTTGTGCTGACATGTATGTTCATGCTCAGGCTCACACACTCAGGCTCACTCATGCTCACATTCACCCTCACACTCAACCTCACTTTTAGGCTCACGCTCAGTGGCTTTGGTCTATAAATAACAGGCAAGTTATTTAATGCCCGTGCCATGTTGGCAACATTGTCTGGTTTTCTTTTCTATGCAGCTTTATCAAAGAATCTCTTCTGAGAAATACTGTGGTCCATTCTGTTGCTTTTGCATGTGTGTCCCTCCCAAACTAATTGTTAGTGAAAAACATGCTTTAGTGTTATAAGAATGCAGTTAGCCCCAACTCTCTTCTGTTGTCACGTTTCTGTTTGTATTGGACTTCATTATTTAAATTGCGTGGCTGTTTATTAACTGCCAGACACTATGCATGGAGGCTGTATCTCATGACACGAATGTCCCAATTGTACAGTGGAAGTGAGCACTTGCATTGACAACCTGGGCAATGGTGGAGCTGAGATGGAAAGTAAGATCGTCCCCTGAGAACCCAGGCTTTTAGGCATCATGCTGTCATTTGCTAAAATTCATAACACCTAGTGTTCCTTAAAGAGAGCTTAAACAGTATAATTAATTCAAAGAAAATACTTTGATTTCTCCAGAAGATGGCAGGGCCCAGCTATCTGCTCTGTGTGCAGACCCAGACCCTTGTCCCTGAACCCCCCCTCTGTATCTGGCAGAGAGTGCTGTGAATTGTGTTCTCTTGGATCAGGACAACACTTGTGCATTTATTTATGACAACTTTGAGAGAAATAGGCCTCTGGCATTTTTATATGAGTCTGCATTTCTTTTATTGGGTGACTGCAATTAGCATGTCTCAATCTATTGGCATCCATAATGAATAAGGTGCCAGAAGCTGCCTCCAGGTTTGGGTATTTGACTACTTCTCTGAAGTAGCCTTGAATCTCCAGTGAGAAGCCAGATTTTGTGCTTCTTACCAGTGGCTGAATTAGAACCAGCTAGAGGCCAAAGGTCCTGAAACAGGGTCACTTCCATCTCAAACATACTGTGTTTATGCCCCTTTTTCTTCCATTTAAGACTGTAGAGGTTATAACAGTTAAACAGTAATGTCATCAAACACAGGATTGAGTAAGCAGGAGTCAGGTGACAAAGTGGGATTTTGGGCAGTGGCAGGTCCTAGTGGGAGTGGCTGCTCCTGCCCTACACCCATGGATTCCTGGGAATGTGCTTACCCTACCCAGACAGGGCAACTGCTGCAGGCTCCTGGGCCCCACATGGCCAAGATCACAGTTTGGGTCAGACAGCTGTCAGTACCCTCTCCTTGTGCCCCCACTGCCCTGTCCTGGGCTCAGGCTATGTCACTGCTGACAGATGGATCCAGTGAATCTAAGGGTGAATCCCAGACAAGGCCCTCTTAGGGCAGTAGCCTCTCTGGGATGGCTTCAGGCAGACAGATGCCTTGCAGGGTCATAGCTGTGGGCAAGGGTGGGAAGTCTCACTTGGCTGCTGCGGTGACACTTGCTCCAGAGCTCTCTGGGTTTGGCCGAGCTTCTGCTGCAAGCCAACACTCACCTCTGCCCCAGTCCATCTTCTCTCCATTCCTCTGCCAGAATGGACCCCGAATAAAGTTCTTGCCCTTGACCCCCTGCCCCCCGCCCCAGGTGACACTTAGAGTGTAGTCAGCTTTTTGCATTCCTGATTCCCCTCTGTTTTCCAGCCCCCTGGCAATGTCTTGGTGGCTTTGCTGCAGGCACAGTGGCTGCTTCTGAGTCCAGGGCAGAGCCACTTACCATGATTCTGGTTGAGCCCATGCCACACACTCCTGCTGTGTCCTCCTTTTGTCCTCTCTGCTCTGAGTTGGGAACAAATTTTGACCTGTTGCATGGATGATCAAGCTGAGATTATATACAGAGTGATGAGGTAACTCCCAAAGATGCATAGCAGGGAAATGTTGCTAGAGTTTGAATCTAAGTCATTTTGGCACCAACAAACACATTTGTTTTTAAAATCTTTATTCTTAAATCTTTTTAAAATTAATATAAAAAGAACAAAATGTCATGTATTTCATAGTACAGTTCTTTTTTAAAAAGATTTATTTATTTTTGAGAGGCAGAGTTAAAGACAGAGAGGCTGCAAATGACCGGAAATTGACCCCAAATTGCTGCAATGACCGGTACTGGGTGGATCCGAAGCCAGGAGCCAGGAGCTTCTTCGGGGTCTCCCACATGAGTGCAGGGGCCCAAGCACTTGGACCATCTTCCACTGCTTTCCCAGGCCTTTAGCAGAGAGCTGAATTGGAAGTGGAGCAGCCGGGACTTGAACTGGCACACATACAGGATGCTGGTAGTGCAGGTGGAGGTTTAGCCTACAATGCCACAGTGTTGGGCCCTCAGAGGTACAGTTTTAAGAAGATAACCATACTACTCTTTCTCCCGTCTCCCTCCCAAACACCCTCTTTACCTCTCTTCTTTTCATTATATTTTACAGACATAATTTTAATTCACTTTGTAATCACAGGATGAATTCAACACTAGCCATAATATTCCACAAGTAAAAAATAAGATCACGGTTTGTCAGGGGTATAAAACAAGGGCTAAAAATGACAATCATATCTCAAGATGTCTATTTAATTCTTTTTTTTTTGTTTTCTATATTAACTGCCACATATTGGAGAAAACATAATATTTGTATTTTTGAGACCGGCTTATTTCACTAAGAGTAATTGTTTGTAGTTAAATCCATTTTGATGCACAAGACAGCATTTCATTTTTAATGGAAGAATAGTATTCCATAATGTATATATCCCACATTTTCTTTACTTATCTATTTTTAGATGAGGAAATTGAGACTCATGGAGTTAGCGGCTTGTCCAGAATTGGCTGTTGTAGCTGGGGTTGAAGCCATGTTTGTCTGAAACTGAAGTGTGTTCTTTTGCTTTGTGTGCCATTCCTTCTCTGCTCCTGGATGGCTGTTGGTTCCCTGTTGCATCTGTCTTGTGTTTCAGCCAGACCTTCTCTGAGGGAGTTTTGCTCTTTGTGGGTATCGAGCTAAATTAAAGTTGATGATACAGCAGACTTCAATAATGTAATGGTCTTGTGCAGATGGTAGACCAAAGCACAGAGAGTAAAGCTGCTTATGACTGCTCAAATATGTATATTTTGACCAAAATATTTTTATTTTTATAAAAAACTATTTTTATAAAAAACTATTTTTATAAGGTGAACAAATTTCATCTATGTCATATATACAGATTTAGGAGAATAGTGAGACTTTCTACCCTACCCTTACCCACCCAAGCTACCACTCTCCCTCTTCCTTTCTTATTCTTTCCTTCAATTTTTACAGTGACATACTTTCAGTTTATTTTTATTTTTATTTTTTTTGACAGGCAGAGTGGACAGTGAGAGAGAGAGAGAGACAGAGAGAAAGGTCTTCCTTTGCTGTTGGTTCACCCTCCAGTGGCCGCCACGGCTGGCGCGCTGTGGCCGGCGCACCACGCTGATCCGATGGCAGGAGCCAGGTACTTATCCTGGTCTCCCATGGGGTGCAGGGCCCAAGGACTTGGGCCATCCTCCACTGCACTCCCTGGCCACAGCAGAGAGCTGGCCTGGAAGAGGGACAACCGGGACAGAATCCGGTGCCCCGACCAGGACTAGAACCCGGTGTGCCGGCGCCGCAAGGCAGAGGATTAGCCTAGTGAGCCATGGCGCCGGCCCTACTTTCAGTTTATTTTATAATCATAGACTTTACCCTTCATTAAGTAAATAATTCAACAAATAGTAAAAGAAAAATCCACTATACCTCAATAGTAGAGACAAGGACTCTAAACAATAATTCTCAAAATGTCAGTTTTGCTCATATACATTACATATTTTTGTTTTTTAAATTCTATTTAAGGTATGTAAACTTCATGTATTTTATAGATACAGATTTAGGAACATAGTGATACTTCCAACCCTACCCTCCTTCAGCCCATGCTCCCAACCTCCTCCCTACTCCCTCTCCTATTCCCATTCTTAATTTTTATAAATATCTATTTTCAATTCAGTTTATTTTCATAAAATTAGCTCTAACAGTACAGAGTTCAACAAATAATATGAAGAAATAAACACTCTTCCACAATAGTAGAGATGAAGGTTCTAAAAAATAATCAAATTTAAAAATGTCAATTTTACTCTGAAACATTAATTTTAGATACTCTAAGAGTTACAGCAGATCAGGAAAATGTGGTATCTGTCTTTTGGGGTCTGGCTTATTTCACTGAGTAGAATGATTTTCAGTTGCATCCATTTTATTGCAAAAGACAGGATTTTTTTTAAACACTGAGTAGTATTCCTACACACACACACACACACACACACATACACATATATATCATAATTTCTTTATCCAGTCTTCAGTTGACAGGCGTTTAGGTTGATTCCATGGCTTAGCTATTGTGAGTTGAGCTACAATGAACATGGGGGTACAGATAACTCTTTCATATGCTGATTTCATTTCCCTTGGGTAAATTCTCAGGAGAGGGGTTGTTAGGTCAGATGGTATCTCTATTTTCAGATTTCTGAGGTATTTCCATAATGTTTTACACAATGGCTGCACCAGTTTACATTCCTACCAACAGTGGATTAAGGTACCTTTTTCCCCCACATCCTCGCCAGCATTTGTTGTTTGTTGATTTCTTTTTTTTTTTTTTTTTTTTTGACAGGCAGAATTAGACAGTGAGAGAGAGAGAGAGAGAAAAAGGTCTCCCTTTTTCCGTTGGTTCACTCCCCCAAGTGGCCACTACAGCTGGCGCGTTGCGGCTGGCATGCTGCACCAATTCGAAGCCAGGAGCCAGGTGCTTCCTCGTGGTCTCCCATGCAGGTGCAGGGACCAAAGACCTGGGCCACCCTCCCCTGCATTCCCAGGCTACAGCAGAGAGCTTGACTGGAAGATGAGCAACCGGGACAGAATCTGGCGCCCCGACTGAGACTAGAACCCGGGGTGTCGGCACTGCAGGCGGAGGATTAGCCTAGTGAGCTGTGGCGCTGGCCTGTTTATTGATTTCTGTATGAGAGCCATTCTAACCTGGGTGAGTTGAAACCTCATTGTGATTTTGATTTGTATTTCCCTGATGGCTAGTGATCTTGAGTATGTTTCCATGTGTCTGTTGGCCATTTGAATTTCTTCTTTTGAGTGATGCCTGTTCAAATCTTTTGCCCATTTCTTAACTGGGTTGTTTTGTTGTTATTGAGTTTCTTGAGCTCTTAATAGATTCTGGATATTAATCCTTTATCAGTTTCATAGTTTGCAAATATTTTCTCTCATTCTCTTGGTAGCCTCTTCACTTTGCTGAGTTTTTTTGCAGTGCAGAAGCTTCTCAGCT